CTGTAGCTCTGCTTAGGCGTCTGCCACTGCATGGAGCTCTTTTCTCCTTAAAAACAGTAATGGCTGTGACTCCTACACTTGCATTCATTGGTAGCAAGATTTTAGTCCCCTTGAGTTGATTTCGTCGTTGACCCATATCTCTGTGAAACTGTCTGGAAGATATTGGCATTTGCAAGGTTCAGCTTGGACCTGCTGGGATATGGGACACTCTTGCTTCATTTAGCTTTCCACCATTGTTTGGAAGATGGCAGCGGCACAGGCTGATGCTCTAGAGGTGTCACTGTGTGTGTGTGAAGCCTGCAATGGACAGGTTGTCAATTCCAGAGTCAGGGAGGGCATTTGAGAGGCAGCAGCACCCTTTAGGTAAGAACCCGTGGTGGGATGGAGTGTCGTGGCGCCGGTGAGGACGAAGAGTGGGGTCCGGACTGGGGTCTGAGCCGGGACTTATTGGCCTTCTCCCTTTTCTTTTTAGGTCCTCACGACTCAAAATCTAGTTCTACAAAGAGCTCAGCTCCGTCCTCCAAACATCTGAGTAACTGAGTTTCTCTGAATCTTCCTGCCACATAAGGACCAGGCAAGAACCCAGCTCTGCTTCAGCCCTGCACACCCCTTGCTCCCCCAAAAAGGACAACAATGAGCTTCAGTGGCGATCAAACCCAACTGGAAGACTGTCCAGTCACTTCCGGGGACGACCGAGCCTCCTGTTGTGGTCAGACGATGACCCCCAATGCTGACCAGACTTGCCATGGGCATCAGGAGACGGCTCTCAATAGTGACCAGAATGTCTACAGAGATGAGATGAGAACTCTCCTCAGTGGTGATCGGCGTCTCTGTAGGAGTCAGATGACAAGCCCTAGTGATGAGTTACTCACCTATGGGGCTCGGACAATGGCCCCTGATGCAAACCAGACTTTCTTTGGGGGTCAGATGACTCCAACATGTGCCCTTACAAAAGGGGTTCAGACGGCATTCCCTACTAGTAACCAGACCATCTTTGGGGGTCAGATGACTCCAACCAGTGCCCTTACAAAAGGGGTTCAGGCGACACTCCGTACTAGTAACCAGACCATCTTTGGGGGTCAGATGACTCCAACCAGTGATTCAATGGATGGGGTTCAGTTGACACTCCCCATAGGTAACCAGATTTTCTTTGGGAGTCAGATGACTCCAACCAGTGGTCACCAGGCTTCCTATAGGACTCAGATGATGCCCTGTGAGGGTAACCAGTCTCTGTACAGAAGTCAGAAGATAACACCCAGTGTTGACCAGGCTCAGATGGCCGCCCTAGATGGAGACCAGACCTTACATGGCGTGCAGATGACAAACCCCAGTGGTGACCAGATTTTCTATGACCCTCAGATGGCAAACCCCAGAGGTGGCCAGACCCATTATACAGGACAGGTGATGTCCCTTGTTGCCCTTATTCGTAGCCAGCTGCACTTTCAGGACAGATCCCCATCTACTTCAAATTCTCGCGTGGCCCAAGAACAGCTTCCAGAATGTTCTTCAAGCTTTCCTTTGGCACCAAGACATTTCCCAGTCATGACAGAGAACCTCGGAACTTGGGCCTCTAAGTTGCAGAAGAGGAACAATTGGAAGACCTACAATTGCAAACAATGTGGACAGCTATTCCTAAGAACTTCCCACCTCCAAAACCACCTTAGAAGCAAACACAATGGTGGGTGAGGGTCTGCGTGTACGGGGGCAGGGGAGTGGCTACAACTCTGTGCCTTTATAGAGCTTTGATATTATTTGAGATTATTGTCACTTCCTGGAAGTCTGGGACCCCAGGAGACCCTGGGGAAGGTTGCCAAGATTGAGGGTGGATAGAGAGGTTTTATTGGTAGCTCAGGTCCCAGGCCAGAAGACTGGGCCCCGGGCTCTGTGGCATCCCTTGTACTACATGACGGGATGAGTGAGATATTAATTTGGTCTTTTGTAGAGGTTTGTGGGCTTGTTCTCTTTTTATGCGCCCCCCCCACCCCACAGAGATGAGGTTGCACCATGCTGTCCACACTGGTTTTGAACAGCCTGGTTGAGGAAACGCCCCCAACCTGAGTCACCAAGTCCCTAGGGCTATTAGCATGTGCCCTGCTCAGAGACTGTTCACTCCATCTCTGTGGGGACTGTCTCTGCTTGGACCACCTCCCTGTTACTCCTTCATTAGCTTTCTTGCTCTCCTTCCTTGTCTCCTCTTTTGCTGTTTTTCTTTCTTCTTCTCCTTCAAAGGTTTCCTCTTGTCTTTCCAACCCAACTTTCTCTCCCGCAGTTTTTTGTTTGTTTGTTTTGGTTTTTGTTTTTTTAAGAGATTTTTTATTTTACATGTTTTTTTTTCAGAATAGAATTGGATATTTATTACTTAGAGAGAAGGAAAGAAAGAGAAGAGGAGAGAGACAGAGAAGGGAGCAGGGAAGAGGGTGTATTTTACATGTTTTTATTGATTATATTGAGCTATACATTTTTTCTGCTCCCCTCCTTTTCAACTCTCTCCCATGGTCCTCATGCTCCCAATTTACTCATAAGACCTTATAGAGAAGTATTTTCTCTGTAGCTTTAGACCCTTCTTGGAACTTACTCTGCAGACCAGACTAGACTAAAATGCACAGGAATCCACCTGTCTGCATCCTGAGTACTGGGATTTAAGTTGTGTTGCCATCACCCCCAGGCCCCTATTCATTTTCATATTTCAGTCTCCTCCATCTTGGTTAGCCTTGTTCTTGATTACCGTAGGGTTCCCTGACCCTCCTTTCTCTGCGTGTAACAAGCCTGTTTCTCTCTGCTTCAGGGGATAAGCCCTACAGATGCCGCATGCCTAAATGCCAGTGGAAATTTGCCAGCTTAGCAGAGCTCAGGCAACACATGAAAATGCACTTTGAGGGGCCGTCCTCTAGTTGAACGGTGTGCAGCAAGGACTATTCATGGATGGACAACCTAAGGCAGCACCCGGAAGTGTTACCCATCAGTCCCCCAGGACGCGTGTGAAGCTGTAAATACACGTTCTACAAGGACTCTCAGCACTAAAAGGATGAAGTAAATTTCTTCTGTGAAGACATTGTTTGAGATTTAAGCGCTGACACAAGGACTTTAAGTTCAGCACGTAGGAAGCAGAGCAGCTCTAAGTTTGAGGCCAGCCTGTGTTATGTAGTAACTTTTTCTTAGAAAGAAATAATTACTTATTGTCTATTAATAGTAGTTTGCTTTAATTATTAAAATGTGGGAAATATACAACCCTTTAAAATTGATGCTGATGATTCTATTTCTGGAGTTGATTCTTTGCATTTTGTAGACTTTGGAGACCAAAGTTAAGGTTATCGTGTTTGTCTACCTATAGCTATTGGGTCATGTTGCTAACCCTGAAAACTCTTTTTTTTCTTTTTTCTTCCTTTTTTTTTTAAAATAGAGACGAAGTTTCTCTATAGCTAGGCTGATCTTGAACTCACAAATCTACCTGCCTCTGCCTTCCCAGTGCTGTGATTAAAGACATGCACCACCACCGCCGTGCTAATCCTAAAAATTCTTGCATGGATCTTTCAGAAAAGCAAAAGGACCTTCTTGTGGACACTGTCTTCTGCCTAAGAGCAGTCAGTCGACATATTTTACTCAGAAAAAATGTGTGAACTTTGTTTAAATAAACAAAATTGCCAATGAAAAAACAAATTATCACTCAAGTAGCAAGCCAGGCATGTCTGCATGTCTTGTGTGTTCCTTTAACCTCAGCTCTGTGGGGAGGCCTTAGAGACAAGTGTTGGATGCCAGACTGCAGGTCCAGAGAGAGACCTGGCCACAAAGAAAATGCAGATCATGATGAATGAAGGACACCAGTGCCACCCCAGGCACGGAATCACATTCACACACAAGGTTTTCAAGTGGGCCAGACGCGGTGGCCATGACTTCATGCCAGGCTGCTCACTTGCTCTCCATTCATTGTTCCAGCGGGTGTTGGGAATGGATGCTCCTTCTTTGCCCTTTTTAAATTTTATTTATTAGCTTTCTTTTGTATGTTTTTTGTTTGGTTCTGTTCTGTTTTCAGTTGATGGCATGGCAGGGATGGGAAGGACTCAGTTTTCTTTAAGGGGCTGGCCATTGGCAGTCTGACCAGGCTACAGGGAGTATATGGGCAACAATGGACTTGGTATTCTTTTATTTTTTTCCTCAGGTTTTTTTTTTTGGGGGGGGGAGGGGAGGATGTCACAAAGGTGGGGGCATGAACCTGGGAGGACTGAGAAGGGAATGTGATTGGGATGCATTATGTGAAATTCCCAAGTAAGAAAAGATCTGTTTAAGGTCCAGTGTGATCTTTTTCACCCATTACTTTGGGGTGCTTTGAAAAGTATTTTTCACTCAGACTTTCAAAGGGGGCAGACTGTGGATCTCGGGTACCATGGTTGCCCTGTGCAACTTTTGAATTGAGAATATTGACCAACCCATGGTCATTACGGAACCACCATTGTTGGATCCATGGGGGACGACGTGGCATTTTCTTCTCTTTAAAGCATGAAATGTATATTGTGAGTATAAAAAAAATTAACATTTTGGGACTGAAGAGGTGGCTCAGTGGTTAAGAACTGACTAGGGTTCAATTCCCAGCACCCACATGGCAGCTCACAATTGTAACTCCAGTTCCAGGGAATCTGGTGCCTTCACTCAGACACACATGCAGGTTAACACCAATACACATAAACTAAATTAAAAAATGAACATCTATAAAACCCATCAGCCAGGATTAGGCAATCTGGTGTGGAGATGCCCTTCCAGGACAGCAGCCTTGGACTTAGTGCCACCCAGTTAAGTAAGGGGGAAAAGGAAGTACAATCTTCAGTGTTCTTTCTCCATGAAAGTCAAATGAGGCAGAGAAGAGAAAGCCTCTCACTGTTCCTGAATAAAATAAAAAAGGGATTGGGCGGTGGTGGCTCACGCCTTTAATCACAGCACTTGGAAAGCAGAGGCAGGTGAATCTGAGTTCGAGGCCATCCTGGTCTATTAGAGCTAGTTCCAGGACAGGCTCCAAAGTTATAGAGAAACCCTGTCTTGAAAACTTAAAAATAAAAAAATAAAGGGATGGGGCTGGAGAGATGGTTCAGTGGTTAAGAGCACTGACTGTTCTTCCAAAGGTCATGAGTTCAATTCCCAGCAACCACATGGTGACTCACCACCAATTGTAATGAAATCTGATGCCCTCTTCAGACCTGCAGGCATACATGCAGGCTGAACATAATGAAGTCTTTGAAAAAAACAAAAAGAAAGAAAGAAAAAGGGTATATGGTAGGAGTGGGGAAAGTTGAGTCAGGTGGTGGAGTATGGGGAAGAGATACCTTGACCATGCAAAGTATCTCTTGAAATCTTACATTCTGTCAAAAGAGTATCTCCTAGATGAAAGTTATGCCTCCAAAAGATGCAGCTGGGCTATCTCTCAGATTGGCAGCAAAGATTCTCAGAGGTATGAGGAAAAAACAAGCCCCCATGATTAGCCCAACACTAAGATCCTGTAATTATTCAGTTAAGCAGTTCAGCTACCGCTGTCCATGTTAATATCTGATGACCCTGGGAACCAAAATGGATATTGCAGTCCGTATTGCCTGGCTCGGAGAGACGAGCATCCCCTTGCCTTGCCAGTCACCCTGGAATTCGCCTCTCCTGCTTGTGAAGAAACCTGGCACCTCTGATTCTCATGAGGCAGATTCTTCCAGGGAAACAGGGGTCCACTGTCTGGGGCCTGAAAGATGCATTCTTCAGCCTCCCATTGGCAGAGGGGAGTCAATCCATCTTTGCTTTAAATGGACAGACCCCGTGAGGGTTACAACAGGCAACATTCCTGAACCAGGTTGCCCCAGGATTTAGAACTTCTCCAACCCTGTTTGAGAAGACACTAACTGCTAATCTCCTGTCTCTCGTTCAGAGGTTCCCAGGGAAAATAGACTATAAAAGAGCCACTGCTGCCAGGCTTACAGTCCTCGGGCTACAGCATGTCAGCTAAGACAGCTGTGGTGGTCACTACGAGTCTAATAACAACAAAAACAAGTTAACTGAGTCAGGCTCTTATGCTCACAACACCCCAAGATGCAGATGAGGCTCTGTCATGCAACACCAGAACAATTGCTAATGCCATGTTACTGGTACAAGGTTTTACTCCTGCCCCATCCATGAGTCCAATTCAAGACACCCACCACCATCACTTCTGCTACCCTCTTGCCTGATGACAACCTGCAGGTGCTCATCCATGACTGTCATAAGATGAAAGATGGGACCAGGTGTGCAGGAGCTATGGTTTGGGCTGAAGCCAGGTACTCCAGCCCAGAGAACAACTGACCAGCCTGACCAAGACGCTCAGGCAGGGCGAAGGAAAGTCCACTACCGTATACAGAGACAGTCGCTATGCTTTACTACAATACATGTCCACAGTACCACAGTATGAACGATAGAGAGAGGGGGCTCTTCATCATTGCGGGGGAAAGGATATTAAAAACAAAGAAAAATGCCAAGCAATGGTGGCATACACATTTAATCCCCACTCTTACCCTCTACCCGTTTTCATTTTATTCAGGGACAATGAGAGGCTTCCTCCTCTCTGCCTGATTTGGTTTCTTTCTTTCTTTTTTTCATTTTTCTTTATAAAAAAACCCCATATCTTTGTTGTATAGAAATGTGTGTGTGTGTGTGTGTGTGTGTGTCTGTGTGTGTAAACCCTCGGGATGCTATTCTCTCATTTCCCTATCTTCCTTCTCCTCAACACCTCGAACATAAAGGACATTATTACACCTAATTAGAACTTCACCCAGATGTCCAGACAATGCACCATCTATGTATTCTGTATTTGCAAGCTGCATGTTCATGTGGCCATCTACAGAGACCAGGGAGCCCTTATGTTCCATTCCCCACTTGAGTTTCACCATCACTGGTTTTTCCTGTCAGTCCGTTGAGAAAAAGTTTGGGATTGAGGGGTAAATTAATCGCGAACACCCGCGAGCACTACACCCCACTGACCACTGATCACGCTGCAGCAAGCCTCTCGTGACTAGAGCAACTGTCACCAACGAACCGGACCACACCCTCATTTGGTTTCTATGGAGAAAGAACACTGGAGATCTGGTCTCTGGAGATGTTGGTGGCACCTCCAGAAATGTTGTAGGATATCCACCGGAGAAGACATGGGTTTAAGCCAATAGACAGTCTTTATTAGCTGGCTGGTGACTATACTGGGTGTTTAGGGTCCAGTGTAGTCCCGAGCCTTTCTCTGGGTGACTTTTCAAGCACAAAATCCACGTCCTGAGTTACACAATTCAGTTAACAAACACAGTCAGCCAGAAGCAGAGCTACAATAGCCAAAAAGGAAAGTTAGTGAATTTAGAGACTTTCCCAGAACTATGGATGTTGATGGATTAGATCTTTTTTCTTTTCTTTCTTCTTCTTTTTTTTAATCCTGGCAGGTGGTGCCGTCTACATGCTCAGCCTGAATGGCCCTTCCATCATGGAGTCAGTTGTTTCAAGTTCTGGGGCCCTGTGGGAAAACAAGCCTGGGTTGTTCTGTCTGTCTTGCTTATCCAAATGCTGCATCCTGAGGGTATTCCAATTCTGGTAAAAAAGGGAGACAAGCTGCGTCTGTCCAAATTCATCAGACAACTGTCTTGCATTAGCCACCAGTTGGTCCCTGCCTTTGAACGAAGTCTTCCTCTGCCCTCCTTTGTTTTTCCCCTTACTTAACTGCGTGGTACTAAGTCAAAGGCTGTTGTCCTGAGAGACCATCTCCACACCTGACTGCCTGATCCTGGTTGATGGAATTTTATATATGTTCCTTTTTTTTTTTTTATTGTGTGTGCATTGGTGTCTGCCTGCATGTGTGTCTGAGTGAAGGCACCAGATTCCCTGAAGCTGGAGTTACAGATAGTTGTGAGCTTCCTTGTGGTTGCTGGGAATTGAACCCAGGTCCTTTGGAAGAGCAGCCAGTGTTCTTAACCACTGAGCCACCTCTCCAGTCCCAAAATGTTAATTTTTTTATTCTCACAATAAACTATATTTCATGCTTTAAAGAAAAGAAAATAATGCCACGTGGTCTCCCACAGGTCCAACTACGATGGTTCCATAATGACCATGGGCTGGTCAAGATTCTCAACTCAAAAGTTGCACAGGGTGGGCTGGAGAGATGGCTCAGTGGTTAAGAGCACTGACTGCTCTTCCAGAGGTCCTGAGTTTAATTCCCAGCAACCACATGGTGGCTCACAACCATCTGTAATGAGATCTGGCGCCCTCTTCTGGAATGCGGGCATACATGGAGGCAGAATGTTGTATACATAATAAATAAATCTTAAAAAAAAAGTTGCACAGAGCAACCGTGGTACCCGAGACCCACAGTCTGCCCCCTTTGAAGATCTGAGTGAAAAATACTTTTCAAAGCACCCCAAAGCTAAAAGATCACACTGGGTGAAAAAGATCATACTGGACCTTAAACAGACCTTTTCTTACTTGGGAATTTCACATAATGCACCCCAATCACATTCCCTTCTCAGTCCTCCCAGGTTTACGCCCCCACGTTTGTAATATTCTCCCCTCCCCCACCAAAAAAAGCCTGAGGAAAAAAATAAAAGAATACCAAGTCCATTGTTGCCCATATACTCCCTGTAGCCTGGTCAGACTGCCAGTGGCCAGCCCCTTAAAGAAAACTGAGTCCTTCTCACCCCTGCCATCAACTGAAAATGGAACAGAACCAAACAAAAAACATACAAAAGAAAACTAATAAATAAAATTAAAGAAGGCCAAAGAAGCAGCATCCATTTCCAACACCCACTGGAACAATGAATGGAGAGCAAGTGAGCAGCCTGGCATGAAGTCATGGCCACCACGTCTGACCCACTTGAAAACCTTGTGTGTGAATGTGATTCCGTGTCTGGGGTGGCACTGGTGTCCTTCATTCATCATGATCTGCATTTTCTTTGTGGCCAGGTCTCTCTCTGGACCTGCAGCCTGTGTTTTTTTTAAACGTAGACTGGCATCCAGCACTTGTCTCTAAGGCCTCCCCACAGAGCTGAGGTTAAAGGAACACACAGGACGATGTCTGGCTTGCTACTTGGGTGATAATTCATTTTTTTCATTAGCAATTTTGTTTATTTAAAAAAAGCTCACATCACACATTATCTGAGTAAAATATGTCAACTGTATGCTCTTAGGAAAAATGTACATGGTACATGAGAAGGAACTTTTGCTTTTCTGAAAGACCTATGTAAGAGTTTTCAGGAATAGCAACATGGCCCAGTAGCTAAAGGTAGCCAAACACAATAACCTTTATCTCCAGAGCCTACAAAAAAAGGGGGGGGGGGCAAAAGAATCAACTTCAAATAGAATCAACACTATCATAGACAATAAGTAATTATTTCTTTCTAAGAAAAAGTTACTACATAACACAGGCAAGCCTCAGACTTAGAGCTGCTCTGCTTCCTACGTGCTGAACTTAAAGTCCTTGTGTCAGCACTTAAATCTCAAACAATGTCTTCACAGAAGAAATTTACTTCATCCTTTTAGTGCTGAGAGTCCTTGAACATGTATTTACAGCTTCACACGCGTCCTGGGGGTAACACTTCCGGGTGCTGCTTTCTCTGGTGCTGCCTTAGGTTGTCCATCCGTGAGTAGTCCCTGCCGCACACCACACATCTGAAGGACGGCCCCCCAGTGTGCTTTTTCATGTGTCGGCTGAGCTCATCCGAGCGGGTGAATCTCCACTGGCATTTAGGCATGCGGCACTTGTAGGGTTTCTCCCCTGAAGCAGAGAGAACGAGAGGTTTGTTACACGCAGAGAAAGGAGGGTCAGGGAACCCTACGGTAATCAAGAACAAGGCTAACCAAGATGGAGGAGACTGAAATATGAAAATGAATAGGGACCTGGGGGTGATGGTGACACACAAGTTAAATCCCAGTACTCAGGATGCAGACAGGTGGATTCCCGTGCATTTTAGTCTAGTCTGGTCTGCAGAGTAAGTTCCAAGAAGGGTCTAAAGCTACAGAGAAAATACTTCTCTATAAGATCTTATGAGTAAATTGGGAGCATGAGGACCATGGGAGAGAGTTGAAAAGGAGGGGAGCAGAAAAAATGTATAGCTCAATAAAATCAATAAAAACATAAAATACACACTCTTCCCTGCTTCCTTCTGTCTCTCTCCTCTTCTCTTTCTTTCCTTCTCTCTAAGTAATAAATATCCAGTTCTATTCTGTAAAAAAAAAAAAAATGTAAAATAAAAAAGTCTCTTAAAAAAAACAAAAACCAAACAAACAAACAAAAAACTGTGGGAGAGAAAGTTGAGTTGGAAAGACAAGAGGAAACCTTTGAAGGAGAAGAAGAAAGAAAAACAGCAAAAGAGGAGACAAGGAAGGAGAGCAAGAAAGCTAATGAAGGAGTAACAGAGAGGGAGGTGGTCCAAGCAGAGACAGTCCCCACAGAGATGGAGTGAACAGTCTCTGAGCAGGGCACATGCTAATAGCCCTAAGGACTTGGTGACTCAGGTTGGGGGCGTTTCCTCAACCAGGCTGTTCAAAACCAGTGTGGACAGCATGGTGCAACCTCATCTCTGGGGTGGGGGGGGCGCATAAAAAGAACAAGCCCACAAACCTCTACAAAGGACCAAATTAATATCTCACTCATCCCGTCATGTAGTACAAGGGATGCCACAGAGCCCGGGGCCCAGTCTTCTGGTCTGGGACCTGAGCTACCAATAAAACCTCTCTATCCACCCTCAATCTTGGCAACCTTCCCCAGGGTCTCCTGGGGTCCCAGACTTCCAGGAAGTGACAATAATCTCAAATAATATCAAAGCTCTATAAAGGCACAGAGTTGTAGCCACTCCCCTGCCCCCGTGCACACAGACCCTCACCCACCAGTATGTTTGCGAATATGGTTTCGGAGGTGGGAAGACTTTTGGAATATCTGTCCACATGTTTCGCACCCATAGGACTTCCGATTGTTCTTCTTCTGCAACTTAGGGTCCGGAGTGCTGAGGTCCTCTTTCATATCTGGGTGATTTCTTGGAGCTGAAGAAAAGCTTGAAGAACATTCTGGAAGCTGTATTTGGGCCAAGTGAGAATTTGAAATAGATGGGGATCTGTCCTCACAGGGCATCTGGCTACCAGCAAGGGACATCACGTGTCCTGTATAATGGGTCAGGCCACCTCTGGGGTTTGCCATCTGAGGGTAGTAGAAGGTCCGGTCACCATTCAAGTTTGCCATCTGGGGGTCATAGTTGGCCTGGTCACCATTCCAGTTTGTCATCTGGGGGTCATAGTAGACCTGGTCACCATTCAAGTTTGCCATCTCAGGGTTGTAGAAGGACTGGTCAACATTCAAGTTTGCCATCTGGGAGGCATAGTTGGCCTGGTCACCATTCAAGTTTGCCATCTGGGGATCATAGTAGACCTGGTCACCATTCAAGTTTGTCATCTGGGAGTCATAGTAGACCTGGCCACCATTCAAGTTTGTCATCTGAGGGTCATAGTAGGCCTGGTCACCGTTCCAGTTTGGCATCTGGGAGGCATAGTTGGCCTGGTCACCATTCCAGTTCGTCATCTGGGGGTCATAGTAGGTCTGGTCACCGTTCCAGTTTGTCATCTGGGAAGCATAGTTGGCCTGGTCACCATTCCAGTTTGTCATCTGCGAGCCAGACAAGGTCTGGTCTCCATCTGGAATGGTCATCTGAGCCCCATAGAGAGTATGGTTTCCATAAAAGGTCTGGTCAACCCTGGGTGTTATCTTCTGACTTCTGTACAGAGCCTGGTTACCCTCACAGGGCATCATCTGAGTCCTATAGGAAGTCTGGTGGCCACTGGGGGTTGTCGTTTGACCCCCAAAGAAAGTCTGATTACCATTGGGGGATGTCATCTGAAC